ACACACACACACACACACACACACACACTGTTTTAACATGATTTGAATTAATTTATCTTCAAACCTGTCGGTTCATCAAATCTAATTATTCTAAATAACACAAACATAAAGCTTGTGATGAGGAAACCCAGCCGACAGCAGGACAGAACGTAAACAACCAAGTTTAAAGAAGACAGTTAATCCAACTGTTGTGTTGTCGTGTTGCGTTCCTTCTCCCGGCAGCGGCCAACAAACAATAAGACGTCTGATCCGTTTCTCTCAGATGCAGGGCAGCAGACAATAGCTGGGTGGTGCTCAGGTTTTAGAAGAGAGAGAGGAAGGGCCGAGGCTTACGAGGAATTAATGTTATTAAACTCAAACTTTTATCTGTTTGGGATCCGGGCGACATTTCTTTTCAAATATCAGACGGTTGAAAACCAAACAAGCTTCTCTGGAACCTCCTCGTCTTTCCAAGCTGACGTCTTCATCTTCTACATGTACGGCTCCTCTTCTTCATCCTGAGATGTTGGTGTTCTTCCAGTTTCACGTCAGTCACATGTTAGAAACCTCAGAGACACGTCCACTCGCTCACTGGGAAGTTTCCACACATTTTACCAGAACATGTCCAGAGACACTGACTCAGACATTAGTTCTCACAGAACCTGCAGAACTCCTGCTGCTTTCTGCGTCTGACTCACTCTGTGTTCTGGAGTTTTTGTGACGCTGAACGAGATCAGAAACAAACTAAAAATAATTTGTCTACCGTCAACACGAAAGTCAGTCGCCTTTTTTTAAAGCAAGGTTTCGTTTAAAAGTACGTGTTGACTCAACTTCAGACCAGCTGAGTCGTCTAAATGTTCATTTGTTGAATAATGTGAGATTTTTTTCACACACACATAAAATATATATATTTACTGTGTATTAAAGTGGATTATTTTGTGTTTCTATTACAACCAGACGGCAGAAAATGCACATCGTCAGACGCACGTAAAGAACAGTCTTAATGTCATGCATCACTTAATAACTTTCTCTGCACATATGCAGCGTTCCTAACTCTCCCTCAGCATATGGAGCAGGAGCAACTCTCTCTTAGCATCTGTTGCATTCAGCTCTGTCGTGCTGATATGGAGATGAGAGGATAAGTGTGTCTTCTTTCTGGGAAGTAGGTTAACCTGCTCCTTGTAACCTCCAGACTGCTCCTCAATAAAAAAAGGGAGGAGAGACGACAGTTGGAGGGAGACAGAAGGGGGGGGGGCACTGAGGAAGAAGTATTAGAAATGAGAGAGGGGAGAAGGAAGGAAGGACAGGGGAGGTGGGATAGAGGAGAGAGAGGAGGAGGCAGAAGGTTAATGAGCGCTGAGAGGGAGACAGGGGGAGAGGAGGGAGGGAATGCAGGGGGGAGGAGGGACGTCTATTGTGGTGAGGGGGAGAAATCAATGGCGGCGGCAGAAGGCAGCTACAGAGCGCAGACACAGGGGGTGACGCAGCTCCGACCAGCCTCAGTGACGGTGTACAGGTGTTTCACCCAGTTCCTCTCTGCACAAACTCAGCGAACTCCACAAACTCAGCAAACTCCACAAACTCCACAAACTCCACAAACTCCACAAACTCCACAAACTCCACGGACTCCACGTCATAGTAACGAGGAAAACATGAATGATGCGGAAAATAAACGACTTCAGACCCAACTTTAAATATAAAAAATATAAGTATTGAAGATTTACTTTAGCATCTGTTAATTCAGCAACCCCAATGTTTTTTTATATCTCTGCCACTTCTTAGCATCTTCTGAAGTTAGCATGCTAACCTCTGGTCTTACAAACACGACAGCGGCTCTCAGCGAGCAACAGGAAACAGTTTCTTTAGATATCAAAGGATCACGTCACTCGTTCCTGTGCAACTGGTTTGTTTGAGTTAACGTTAATTACTTTAACTACACACACACGCACCTTGACATGATGTCCCTCCATGTAGTGTGTTGCATCTCTGAAGAGACGATACATCACGAAACCCTGAGGATCAATGCTGTCGATGAGAGGATACGCTGTCTGAACACACACACACAGAGAGAAAATAATCAGCAACAGGAATCACGTGAATTTAATTTCAATCAATTTTCTCCTTTTTTTTTTTTTTACTAAACATCAGTTTCATCAATAAATAAAATGTTACGTTGCTATTGTGTGTTTGTGCGACGCCTTGTTTACAGTCATCTGAAAACCACAAACACACAGAGTTGACCCGTTGTCTCATCTGTGAACTCAACACACTACGTTTGTGGTTTTCAGACGACGGTAAACAAGTTGTCACACAGATCTTATTCAGTGATAAACGCAGGCTGGCCAGCGAGCGAGCGTTTGTGTGCGAGCCTCCCTCACCATGCCGGTCTCTGCAGTGAAGATGACGATCTCGTAAAGCGGCGCCAGCTGCTGGAAGAGGTAGTCGATGCCCGGACGTTTCTTAAACCGCCAACCTGTCGACAACTGGAAACAGATCAACACAAACCACTCAGAAGGTCAAACAGGAAGTTATCATCGGCCAGGTTGGGACAGAGTGACGGAGATTTAACTTTGACTCATTGGAGGTGGAACAACAGTTTGAAGAAAGTGGCTCAACCTTCATGTCAGACGAACACTGCGACCACAGCCTGATGTTAGAGGCCTGTGAGTGTGTGAGTGTGTGAGTGAGTGTGTGAGTGAGTGTGTGAGTGAGTGTGTGAGTGTTTGTGTGAAACTGTAGCAACTGAGCAGCCGTTGTTTCTTTACGCTCAGACGCTCAGGGGTCACAACCCTTTCCACTCAGGTCGGCTCCTGTTTGCTGCTGCTTGAGTTAAACGCACACAACATGGACAGCCTGAGGGTCGGATCTGTGTGTGTGTGTGTGTGTGTGTGTGTGTGTGTGTGTGTGTGTGTGTGTGTTCAGTTACTCCTCAGATAATCTGCAGCTATAAAATGTTGTAGACAGTTGGAGAAGTTAATGTTTGTGTGTGGTCCGAGTGTGTGTGTGTGACACAGGAAGGAAAGTTCAAGTGGTGGGGCAGCGAACTTCTTTGTGTTTGTCTTCTTTAACAGGCAGCGGGTGTCGAGTTACAGCTGCTGCACACCTGTCAGGTAAGTCTGCAGCATGCGTGTGTGTGTGTGTGTGTAAAAAGGGGAGAGTCTGTCAACAAGTCGACAGGTGTTGGGACACACCTCCGACACACATGCCAAATCTTCCACCTGTCCCATAAAACCATTCACCTCGTCCTTTACCACTTAAACAATTATTATCTACGCATATGGAATATTGTAAATCAATATCAACCCTGATCACACATTTTATATTTAGCTTTACGCTCTCTCATGAGGAACATTTTATTCCACATCAGAGCTGAAAGTGTGTAAACGGACAAAGTTAAAGTTCAATTTGGATTTATTGCTCCGTTCTGATTGTTTGGTTTAGAGGTTCTTACATGTGGTGAGCGTCAGACTCAACGAACGGCACATGTTTAACTAGAGAGTTCAATCATTAATACCGTTGCTGCCAGTTTAAGTATTTTAAGTCCCCGGAGTTTCAGGCTTCTCGTTTCAGACTTCTTCAAAATCAAATGAGTGACGATACAAGTCGTCAGGTTTTGGTTTGAACAGAAGTTTCACCATCTTTAAATATGCGAAACCTCAATGTCCCTCCAGCAACAACCTCCATCACTGCTGAGAGTGAAGACACGTACCGACCACTCCGGGTGCAGCAGGACGTCGGTGAGCTCCAGCACCAGAGTGTACGGAGGTTGGTAGTACGGCTCCTTCAGAGGGTCGGGCAGCAGCTTCGGACTTGTCGGCTCGATGATCATCTGAAGACACACACACACACACACACACGTGCGAACAAATACAAACACAGCTTATTAACCCTGAACATATTTCACAACCTTTTATAGTCAGAGGAGGAAGTCGGCAACTCTAAGAAAATTGTGGAAGTTCCGTCTTCATGAGGGAAAATCCAGCTTGCAAACGTTTTATTAAGCTTGTAAATAACTAAATGAGCTCTTAGTACCACTCTGTAAACCCCGAAAAGGAAGATCGGATATGCCCCTTTTTACACTGGTCTACATCAGCGATACTGAAACCACTGCTGGAACCGGTTCTAAGAAACCTTTGAGAAAAATCCAAACTATAAATCGAAATCCTCACAGAAATTAGAGTAGTACCTGGAAACCACCGCTGAATCTATTGCAGCTATTATTATTCATTCTGGAAACTGAGGTCAAACTAAGAAGAAGAGTCACAGGCTACATTCATACCATGGTGAGGTTTTAAAACCGAAACGATTCCCATCCAGAAAACAATAATGATCGTCTCTAAACACAGAAAAAACCCTTATTTTAAGACGGGAAACAGCAGAAAAGCTTTTATGAGCAGAGAAGAGTTTGACTGCAGCTTGAAGTTCAGGACGTCCGACTCCACCCACCTGTCTGTAGTCCTGAAAGTATTTGAAGGTTCTTTTCAGCTGCTGCACGACCGGAGGGTCTGAAAGAAGAAACAAGAAAAGACCTTCAGACCTTTCAGGAAGAAACATGATTCCATTTAACTCACACGTTCATTCATGTTTTCAAACCTGAAAACTCATCTACAAGCTGAAACAAAGTGAAGAAGTGAAACACCGGTTCAAAGAGAAATAAAGGAAACTGAAGCTCAGCTGAATTAAAAACACTAAAGACTACAACTCCCAGTTGTCCCAAGTTGAAAATGTTTTTCTAAGCTGATGGAGGACATGACAGTTACTTAAAAGTGAAGCCAAATCACCTTGATCGCCCCCTGGTGAACAGCTGCAGTACAGGTCATAAAAGATATTATCTTATAGTAACTTATGAATATTTTATTAGTTATTTAATGATATAAAAACAGGCTGAGATGATTGACAGCTGAGACCTCGATACCACGGCTGCACAAGCTCCGACTGCAAATGACGTCGAAAGCGTAAAGATGGCAGCTATCCAAGATATTTTGGCATCATTCCTGGATAGTGGGAGGAAGCGGAGACGTGTCGTCCATCTCGATACACGGTCGAATCACTGGCGTTATTGATCTGAGCCTTGTGACGACCCAGAGGCTCGGCTCAGTTATGATCTGAGCAGTGATCACAGTGGATCAATGAGGGCGGTACCCAACCTGCTGATGATGCTGCTGCTGCTGATAAGCCAGCCAGTGATGCTAATGACGACTCCTCCAGCTGTCAACATGCTGATGACTAATAATCACACAGACTTCGTTTCCCATGGGGCCGCGGGCTCATTACTGCAAAAAGGAGCAGAGTAGCAAGATACAAACACACCAGGCACGTGCCTCACTATCCTCCCCACCGCTGAACAAACGCTAAAGCTAGCACGCTCTGCTCCCAGGGGACTCAATTCCCCAAAGTTCATAGCAGCGTGCTGAAGCAGGAAGCAGAAGCCATCTGCCACAGGCCTGCTGAGACGACGCTGTGATGGGTGCATTCACTCTCACATGTGTGGGGGTGTTTATACTGTATGAGTGTTTTTTCAGGGGTAGAAACGATGGAGGGTGAATTTAAGGGTTTGAATTAAGAATCACACTCGTCAGTGCGTTAACGTCTGTGTTCCTCCAGTGTCTACTTTGGGAGTCTTACTTCCTGTGATGACATTTCCTGGAGAATCTTCAGATGATGCATATCTCTTAACATGTTTTTCATCAACTAGCACATGAAACATAATAACGCCGTCATGATCGATGAGATAGAAGACAGCCGTCTGGACTTACTGCTACAAAAAGAATGTATGTTGTAAATGTTGTGTTTTTATTGAACCTGCTGGACGTCTTCAGTGGGTTAAAGACGGGGGCAGTTATTCAAGTTTCTCTGGTGGTCACCATTAATCGTCTCATGTACACAAACCTGTAAACTGTGGTGAGTCATCATTAGAATTGTTTTTGTCTTTGTGTTTTTACTCAAATTAATTTGATTAAATTTCTTTCTATACATTACTCAAAACTGTCAATTGATGTGTTATCTAAATATAAACATATACATCTGTTTAAGTTTAATTTGTCTGAATGAACTCCTACACCTGAACCCTAAAACCAAGCCGGCTGAATTTACTACGCGTTTTTCAGGCGTAGTAAATTCAGCTCTATAAACACGCACCTGTGACGGCTTTACATTACTATTACTGCGCCAAACAAAACAGAACAAAAAACAAGAAGAGAGTGGAGGCGAGCCTGCGGGGGTTTATGTCGGAGCGGACGTGGAACCTGCTGCGTTCTGTTGCCCTGCTGCTCAAACACCACTGTCATGACTCATCACATCCACCTTTCACTAGTTAATTGAAGTATATAGCTATTGGTACCAAATAGGTCACCAGTAAAGCAGCTGTCGTCCAGGCAACGTACACCACCGTGAAAACCGACATCCTGATGGCGGCCCGTGACCGAATGCTAATGAATTATTTAATTTATTAAGATAAATTAAATAATTCCTCGTCATAGATTAAATAAAATAAAATTACAGCTCTTTAATCATTTATTTTGCTTTATTGACTTACATAACCTTCTGACAGGAAATGACATCACAGGCAGCACCGATGTAAACACTGTAGGAACATTTCTGCGGCACAGATCAGAAACGTCTGTGTGTCATATATCTACAATCCCTGGCAGAGGTCGTTTCTGTTTGTTGCCGTGCGTTCGTTTGATGAAACACTGCCAGGTACATGTAGTAACTATTTTATAAAAGCAATAAGCCGAGAGGCCGTGTTTTCCAGTACTTTTATAAGAGGGTTTTAACTACGCCCTTTAGCTTCTCTAAAATTCACTGTAAACTCCGGCCTCTTGGAGCTTTACTGCTTTATGTTAGCATGTTAATCAAGGGACGCTGGGTGCGGAGGAGGGGTGATGCTGATGTAATGGAGAACAGAGGATGATTGGAAAAGGACAAAGAGGAGGAGGAATATTTTTCACCCTGTCGGCGAGGAGGAAGTCACTGACGTGTCCATATTTAGTGGCGTTGCTCTGTCACTCAACTGGTCCCACGCTTTGGTCCAGATGGAAAAATCTGAGCGACTCCGCTTGCTTCAGATACTCTTGGTGCCCAGCGGCTGAGCCCTTAAGTTTTGGATGATCCTGACTTCGACATTAGGGCTACTGTAGACACCAAGTTTATAAAGATGGACAACGTGTCTCCACTTCCTCCCACTATTAACAAAATAAGCAAAACTATCCTGAACGATGCCCTCTTGGGCTGATGAGCGAGCGCAATGGAGGGGACGGAGCTGAGGTACCCAGGTACCGCTAATACATTCTCCTGACCAATCGCATGTCAGTCTCAGCTGTCAATCATGACGTCTCATCCCATTTTTATATCATCAAGTAACCGATTAAAATCAAACTTATTAGAAATCTGAACAAAAATCTCTTTGCTTTTTTTTTTTTGGTTCATGTCCAATTTGCTAACACGGAGGAAGCAGGATTTATTACTCATACAGCTGTCGGCCACCAGGAGGCAATTGAGCTGTTTTTGCTTCGTGTTTGAGGAGCCGTCATATCGGCAGCAGCAGGTCGTATTTCATACACATCAATACATCTCAACATCTGGAAGATGCATCATTTTCCCCCAGAGGATGAATCCCATCAACTTTGGTGATCAGGGCCGTACAGTGGTGATGCTCCAGTTTTGTTTGTGTCTTAACTTTATTTAAGAGCCACTGACAGAGAGAGGAGGATCCGATGCTCTTTTGAAAAATCCTTTGCACCAAAATCACGTCATCATGTTTGTTTGGACGTAAAATAACTGGAATTCCTGTTTTTAATCCAGATAATTCCCCAGAATTGAAGAAGAGGCCACCTCCTCTTCTTTCTTCTCCTCTCTTGTTTCCCTTCTTTCATCTCCTCTCCCAGTCTAACGGTCTTCCTTTCATAGTCAATGTCGGCTCTTTGTGTGAGAGGCCTTCTCCGTCGAGCTGTCAAACTGGGGCTGTTTGTGTTTTCCTCTGAAACGGCCTGGGTGGGCCGCACAACTTCGCTCCTGCACTGAAACTGATGTGCCAGGGTGACGCTAAGGCAAAACAAACTCATCCAGCCTGAGGTTATCACACTGCGAGTGTGAGAGCCGGCTCTGCTGTGGCTTTATAGAGCTCGAAAACAGCTGTTTGTTGCTGCAGGAAACACTGAGGATGTTCATTATCAACTATTTACCACTAACTGACGAGAATTTCCATGAGTTAACCACTTAAAAATAATACATGTTCTCTGCAGCTCGTTTTGACAGAACAGTGAACATTAAGTTTAATGTTGTTTACATTTACTACAAAGTCATTTTACAGCCGAGTGACGATACTGAAGCTTCAGCGCAGTCGGAGACGATGAAGTAAGAACTAAAGACAAAGATCAGACGAAGGAGCCGGACTTTCCCAGGAGTTTGTCTTTCACACATGAAAAACTCTTCATCCTGAGACACTTCAGATTTGCATCCTTCGTTAGAAACGTCATCAATACGCCCTCTACACAGAAATCCTGCAGCAACGGACTCTGGCGTTTGATTCTCAGAGACAGCCCCTCTGGATAATTTCAGGAGATCCTCCAGAGTTCTGTGCAGGTATGAAGGCAGCTACAGACTATTTGGGCTACATCCACATTAATAAAACACAACTTCACTTTTCCAGCCTCAAAAACAGAGACTTTAGGAAACGCTGCTGACCTCGTTTGAAGTAAGAAGCTTCCTGCAGGGGGCAGGATGTGCCGGCTGGACAATATCGGGAAAATTCAGGCAAGGGGTGGAGTCGAACAATTCATGTCCGTAAGCATCTTTTGTCAGATAAGACCTAATTTAATGTGTTTTCTTATCAACAATCATGTGAAGAGGAATCACAGCTGCTGAATGAAGCAGAAGCAGATGATGAGGGTGGAGAAAAAAATAACACCATCTTGAACCGATCGTCAAATTACTTCTGTAAAGGGAGCAGCACTGGTAATTTCAGTCCCATTGTATCATGGGATATTCTTCCCCCATTAAAGCAGAATTGAGCAGTTAATGATGAATACAAAAAGAAAAGAGAGACGGCAGAGGAGAAAACAAGTTGGCCAAAGGTGGAGGGAGGACAGGAGGGAGGGAAGAAAGGGAGGAGGGAGGGAGGGACCATAATAAGAGAAAAGATAAAGAGAGGGAAAGTCTGTTATGAGAAGAGTAGAGGGGAGAAGGGCAGGGTGGTAAGAGTGTAGGGTAAAGGGATGGATGAAAGAAGAAGTGAGTGGAGGAGAAAGAGACAAAAATGATAAAAAGGACGAGCAGGATAATAGCAGGAAGAAAAGAAGAGGTTAAAGTGAGGAGTGAAGGGTTGAGAAAAAAGAGGATGTAAAAAAGGAGGGAGTGAAGCAACAACAACAGAGAAGGAAAGATGGAGAGAGGTGAGGAGGGAAGCCAAAATGGGGGAGACAAGGGAGAAAATAAAGGAGGGACAGACTAGGAGGAATAATGAAAGGAGTGACAGAGAAAAAAAGAAGAGAATGAGGAGGAAGAAAAGGTGGAAATTGGGGATGAAAGGAGAGGAAGGAGGATAAAGAGAGAGATGGATGTAGGGGCCTCCGTCCCAAACAAAAGCTGCGGTCAGGACCAGCATCTGCTGCACAACAACATTTCCTCCTCCCTCCATCCTTCCATCCCTCCCTCCTCTGTCTATCATTTGTTTTCTCTACGGGTGACAAACGGCAGCGCTGCCTGTGTGTGTGTGTGTGTGTGTGTGTGTGTGTGTGTGTACGACTGTATATAAAGATGAACAGCAACTTTACAAACATTTTTTTTTATGAGTTAAATTAGGAAAACGCTAGTCATCCAGGGGGAATACATTGTCTGTGTGTGTGTGTGTGTGTGTGTGTGTGTGTGTGTGTGTGTGTGTGTGTATGTGTGTGTGTGTGCACAAGGTGTCAGGTCTCCTGGTTGCCATGGTACCCGACGCTCCTCTGCATCATGCACATGAATGCCGCCGCTTCAAACCCAAACAGAGTCTCTAGCCAAATACGTCCCACAAGACCCATTTATACGTCCATTCATCTGTCTGTCACTCCACTCACCTTCTGCTGCTCCCAGAGGACGGGGGAGGGCAGGGGTGAGGAAAGGGTGGAGGAGAGGATACTAGAGGAAGAGGCAGGAGAGGATGCAAGAAGAAAAGATGAGGATGAGAAAGTAGGAGGAGAAGGAAGACGAGGAGGATACAGGAGATGAAGATGCTTATGCTCTCTCCTCCCCGAGGGATCATGAACTTTTACCCCAGTCCCTAAACTCATCAGGGATGATTTGGCCTCGGTCCCTGAGGGCTCTAAGAGGTCCCTAAGGTCATGATCGGCCCTTATTACTCTGGAGGGGCTGATGGGAAAGCATTTAGATCTAAATGCTGTGTAATCATTCCTGATATCATTTATCACCTTTCTGTGAAATCAATATGTGATGATGTCATGATCAACACGCCCACTCGCTTGCTAGGAATTTTCTGTGAATTTCCGACTCTTTGCTTGCGAGTCTCTCTCCCCATTTCCTTTCTACGGTCAAACACAAATTAAAACGCGTGAGTGTGGACGAAGGCTGAGAAGCAGTCCTTACACCAGGTGTGAAGAACAGCTGTGAGCTGAACGTCAGGTCGATGTGTCGGGACAGAACTCGCCACTTAAACGAATTCTGATCGGGGGCGGATACTAATAATCCCTTCATCAACAGTTTTGTGTCCCTCAGGCGCTGTTGTGCCTGAACATCCCTCCTTCTGTCCATCAATCAATCAATCAATCAACCAATCAATCCATCCATCAATCCATCCCTCCATCCATCCACACAGCAGACCACCTCCATCTGTAGGTCCTGACCAGACATCATTCATTTTTTCCTCAATTTCATATTTTAACCTCGATCAAAAAAACAAGCCGCCGGCTGTAAACAACACATTTGCTGCATGAGCAGTGGACATGTTTGATTCCGACAGCAGAAGATGATGACAGATGGACAGACAGAGAAGACACAGTAATAAAGATAGAGACAGAGAAAGGGATAAGGAGACTGAGGTTTGTGGTCAGATGAGGACAAACTGGACCCTGGGGGATATTTTATAATGGACGGACTCTAGAGGAGGGATACGGCTAATCGCAGCAGATCCATGTGAAGCATGTGACGTCCGAACACATAACGTTAAAAACATGATGTAACTACAGTAACTTAACTACATCAACCCACTTATTACATTAGCTGATGTGAAAACTTTGATTCTACAGAATAAACAATGTAGAAAAGACGTGAATTTATGTTTCCATTCAAGTTCTATATATTTGGGTAAAAGATTCCTATTGGTCGGGTTCTATGGCTGATTCACTTGAAATGAGGAGCCTTAATTTCCAACCTGAACTTTAGTGAGCTGGTCCGATGATCTGTCAGAGGATCATGTCACTAAAGCCTGTGTGGCTAGCTAACTGTTGGTTCCCCTCCATAATCAGCCACACACACGATGAAAACCTGCTCAACCAGGTTCTGTAGAAAACCTCAGATTTGACTTCATTCAGGTCTGAGCGTGACTGTCTGGTTTTTAAAAGGCCTGAAAACAGAGTTATGAATATAAAAGCAGGTTCTGCTCTTGCACGCAAACACACACACACGCACACACGCAGTGATTAAAGTGTATTCAAACTCACCTCTGTCGAACTCATCTGGAATCTGTCAGAGACAAGAGAGAAAAAGACAAATGATTAAATTCTCTGCACACTGATAATTACACGTCTCAACACGACAGATGTGACGAGGGGCTCACGCTTGTGGTGACGACACAACAAGTTAACCCTAACCCTATTAACGGTCGTCTCTTAAACTGACGTCAGGGAAGATTCACAATATGTTAGAAATACAGTGTGTGAGAAATAGATGTCACATGTTTGATCCCTGGTATTTATGTGTGTAAAAATCATGAAGCTGTTGAGGCAGCTGACGTGGAAATTCTCACATTCAGCCAAAATCTGAAGTATGGACCTGATGTGAAAGAGCTGGAGATGGAAAGTGTGAATGAAGCAACAGGGACATTTTGTAAGAGACGGAAGATGAAGATGAGAAGGAACAGAAAGATGGAGACGAGGTCAAGAAGACAAAAAGGAAGAAAAAAGAAAAACATGCAGGTGAAAGAGGAAGAAGGAAGAAGACAGAGGAGGACTAGTCCGGAGGATCAGGAGCTGTGGTGAAGGACTCCACCAGGTGGTCAAACTGGGTATAACACCCTGTCTGCTCTGGACAGCCCCACATAAACCTCAGGAGTCCACAGAGACACACAGACTGTGACCTCTGACCCCTCGGCTCCTGCTCACTTTAACCAACTACTACTTGTTACCCTTAACCTAAATTTAACCTTAACTCAACCTTAAAACATGTCGTCACCTTAAAGTTTAATGAATTACCTAACAGGGACTTTCCAAAGAATATCGTGACTGACGTAAAAGGTTTAAGTTCCCACCACATGCGTAAAAACCTGGACCACCGATAAAACGCTCCAGAAAACACAACCAGAAACTGTAAAAAACAGAAAGTCTCATTGGACTCTTTCATGGTCCTTGAACAGAAGTTCATATCATGTGTGATATTCACTTCCATCAGGAAAGACAATCAAGTCTAAGCTGGTGACGTCTCAGCAGAATCACGTCTCATGTAACCAGAAATCAAAAGGTTTCCAGAGGAACCAGGAGGAAAGAGGTCGTCTGAGAAGACCAGACACTGACAGGAGGCCTGATGTCGGGGGAAGAGCTCAGCTGCTGCTGGTCGTGTATCGAGGTGTGAAAACAGCCATTAAAACCTCATCGACACCTCAGTGTGGCCGCAGGGCTGCGCAGCCTGGGAGCAGGACAGGAACAGGTTCCCACACAACAAAGCACAAGATTCTTTCAGACGTGAACTGATGTTCCTGTGGTTGTGAACAAGTCTGACCTGACAATCTCCTGCTTCACATGTGAAACACTAACTACAGAACGTGTCTGTGGGAAGATCGGTGTTGTTGTTCACAGCTCATCCACACTTCTACGTGATCGGCTCCTCTTCTTCATCCTGAGATATTTGTGTTCTTCCACTTTCACGTCCGTCATGTGTTAGAAACGTGCTCTACAATGCTGACTCTGAAATGTGTGTTCTCATGTACAGCCCATCCACAACACATCAGGTGAATACCCAGAGTTCAGTGCAGGTCTGAAAGCAGCTAATGTTTCCCAGACAGCAGAAACACACGCCACATGTCCACAGTCCTGCTCAGCAAATGTCCCCTGGAGACGAGGAGGTGAGATAAGTGTGCCCCTCTGAAGGCTCTGACGAGTGGCACACGACGACGTCTCACCAACATGAGGAAGTGTGTCGTCCAGGGGAAGCTGACAGGATGTGCAGGTGAGAGAAGTGTGCTCTTTGAAGCTGTGAGGAAGTGAACTGAAGACGCCATCATTCCCACATCTTCACCTCCTCAAGAACTGCTGAGATTTGACCCCAGACACGATGAAGGTGGTGAGAACTAAAATTAAAAACTGCTCAATAACAAACCAGGCAGAGCAGTGAGACTGTTTTACAGTTTGGTGACTGTTTTGGTTGGTGTTAAAGCAACTACCTGATGAAGTATGATCACATGAGTGTGGTGACTCAGATGATGACTGAGGGCTCTAAGTCACAAGTGTTGACCTTTTCTTTGAGAACTTAAAGAACTGTGAAGAAAAACAACCCTCCTGTTTCCTGTTCAACACGAGTAGGTAACGTGAAGTTATTGATCCAGACACATTATTCTTCCGCCTTTGTTGCAGGAGGTCGAGTAAAGACAATAAAAAGAATTTGTCCCCCGTGAATCCACTTTCCCACAGTGACAGCTTCAAAGACCCACAGACAAGGGCACTTGGCAGGAAGCTGTCCGCGGTCGTTTGGCTCTTTGGTACCGACAAAAGGATCCTAATGTGATAGAAGTGTGCCCCTTTGAAGTGGCTCGACTTCCCACAGCAACACCTCCAACAGTCCGAGAGCCGAGCGCACGACAGATGAGACCAGGACTTCACAGGCCCTGTTCAGACGTGGTATTGACCTCCGTCCTGAGGGATCCCATCACAAATGGTCATCGCCAAGTTCAGGTCTGAACGTAGAACATCTCAAAGCAGAGCTAATGTCCCCGGGGTGAGACTAACGAAGGATTATCTTATCTTATCTTGAATGCGTCCCAAGCTCCCATCACTCAGGCCACGTCGGTCTGAGTTACAACGTAAATGTACGAATATTTAACTCTCAAATGGGCAAAGCATTAGCATGGATTTATAAATGAATACATTTGTTAACGCCATTAAAACTCCACAGGAAACAAGAATGCAAGACATTACGATGCTGTTGTTGTGAACGCCTCAGACCTGCACAGACCAGCTTAGAGCCGCGGGAGCTGTTATTTACTGGTACTTGAGGACTGGAAGTGATGGTCATTAGAACACGCTGTTTGATGTTCCTGACTCTCCCAAAGTCACAGCTCAGACGAAGACGACCTGACAGGTACCTGTCGAGTGTGCCGCTCCGCCACCTCACTCTTCCTGTTACAGCGGGACAGTGGGGGAGAGGGGGCGCGCTGAAGGTGAGATAAGTGTGCTCCCTTCCTCTCCCACACCTCAGTCATCTGCATGACAGTCTGTAGAGAAACGCCCCGTCTGTCCAGGTTTACACCTCCGTGAGACGGACACATGTCACACAGAGCTGTGAAGTGTGCCCTTTAGAGTCCCGTACAACAGGAAGAGGATCTCTAACGTGTGACAGGAACGCTGCACCACCAAACATCAAAGGGAAAGCAACATTAAAAAAAAGGCAGACGGAAATTAACGGCACTGTGCCAAAGTGTGCCGAAGCTGACCGCTCCGTCGGCTGTGGTCGACATTCATGTGTGAACGTTCCATGTGAGCCTGAATAGACGAGTGAATGTGTCTTCACCGAACAGACACAAGCTCACACCCACCTGAGAGAGAGAGAGAGAGAG